GGGGAGGGATTGGGGGATTTGCCACAGGGTATTGCAAGCCCTGAAACACTGCTGCCTTCCTGCTAGCAGTTCCCTCCATCCAGCGTGCCCAGGCCTGACATGACCATAGCGCTATAGCAAGACGGTTGTCTGATGGCTTGTAGCCGTCACACAAATCCGGGTGGGATTCTCCTCCCCGCAGCTGCAGCAGGGTAGGATCAGACAAGGATTTCTGCCCACCAAGAACATGTCCCAGGGGCCTGCTGTGCCCCTTTCTGGGTATCTGATGATGCCAAAGGGAGGGAAGCCTGAGGGATGTTCCTCTTCCTGCCCCCTGCTCTTTTATGTGGACAACCCCGCTGCCCTGTTCCCATCGCAGGCTGAGTCCAGATGCGGGGGGTGGTGGGGGAAGGATGCTCTGCCCTGGCTCACGTACCATCATGCTGCCAGGGCCCTGCAATAGTGCCTAAGGCATTGGCCACTCCAGCACCCGGCCCCCTAAGCCTGACCCCTGTGTCGCTTCACTCGGTAGTGACAGTGGCTTCGAGCGAGCAGAACCCAGTCATCGTCATCGTCGTTGTGGCCATCGCTGGGCTCATCGTACTGGTTTCCATGGTGATCGGGGTGATGATCTGGAAGAGGTAAGCCACTCATCCTAGGACGCACGAGGCTGTAGCTCTGTGGTCCCTCATAGCCTCCTGGTGTGTCTGACCCTGTGAGCGCAGCTGAGGGAGAGCTTCACCTGCCCCATTTGCTGCAGCGTTTGGAGAACCAGCTGCACGACCAGGCAGGCAAAAAACCACTGCACTGGTTCCAGTGTGGTCCCTGTACTGGATGAGCTGCAGCTTCCAGCTCTGGGACTGGCATCATCAGACTCCCGTCCCATGGGTCACCCACAGACATGTCCCATGTGTGTTGAGATGGTCATAATGGCAAATGCCGGAGACAGTTGCTGGGTTTTAATGCCGAGAAGGTGGCTAGTAGTTCTCAGTGTCTCCTCCCTGCCCTGTTCCCTGCATTGAGATGCTGCTGTGCAGTGGGCCGGGGCTGAGCACTGAGCGCGAGTCCTATGCTGCATGGGGAAGGTGCTGAAGCAGATAATTGTGCTATCACTGGCGCCGCTCATGCTAGTTTCTGTCCCCACTGTCAAGGCTGCTAGAGTGGGCGTGAGGGTTCACAGAGATATCTCCATTCATGTGCCAGATGTTTCAGTTTAATGGGCTGTAATTTTTAACTTAAAAAGAAGAAATTGAACCTAAAACAAGGAAAAGAATTTACGGTGGGAAACGCTGAGGAATGAAAAGGCATTGGCAGGTGCCCTGCATCACATTGCCCCTGAAGTGCAGTCCTCACCCGCCAGCCTGTCCTGCCCAGCGGCAGGGAGCAGCGAGGGGGTCTCAGGAGGTGATGGGCCTCTCCTGCACATAGTGCCTGGTCCTTACGGGGTCAGCGCCTGCTTCCAAAGAAGCCCACAGGCTTTTTGCTTTTGAAACAAGCATAGGATCAAGTAGAGGACAGGCCAGTTGTGCAGAACTTCACCTGTCTCTTTGTAAGGGAGACACAGTGATGATGGAGAAGACAGAAATGTGGCTGGATGTGAATTCCTTCTCTCAGTGTCTCTGAATGCACCACGCTGTGCAAAAGAACTGGTGCCCACAAATGCCTGGTGGTGGGGCAGCCCTTAGTGTGGCCTGTCTAGGGCTGAGAGAGGCTCTCCCCAGACCCTCACTGTCCCCCTGAGCCAGAACTTGCCTTGATATTGATGCCCAGGGAGGATTTGACCTTTGCTTATTGGCTTCTGGCACCAACACTCATGGTCCATGTTTCTTGCGCATGGGACATCCCCATGTGCCCTATTCATGCAGCTCTGAGTTATTACCTCCCAGCCTCAGTAGTTCCCTGCCACTGGGGGTGGTGCACAGAGGTGGCAGCAATGCCCAGTGTTGGGACCTGCCTTGCCTTGGCGCCTTGTGTGGGTGTGTGCCAGGGGGCTGGCCAGCACCCTCAGCCCCCATATTCCACCAGAGATTAATGCCTGGGTGTCTGTTCTTCTTGCAGACAATGTGGGTACAGCAAAGCCAGCCAGGACGGGGATGAGGAGCTGTACTTCCACTGTAAGTACTGTTTACTGTGGGTACTTTGCTGTTCTTCATAAGCCTGCTCCCTGCAAAGTAGCCCTGGATGCTTCCTTTGGAGGGGCTGTCATCCTGCGACAGCCCGGAGAAAGCTGGTGCAGTGCTGCACAGCGCTGGAGAGAGCTGGTTTGACAGCTTCATAAGCCAGCGTCTGTCCTTGTGGTGTGCAGGGTGCCGGGCGAGCATGGAGATCACCAGGTGGTGGGAAGAGACAGGGCGTATGCATGACCCTGCCAGCTTCCCACACATGGGGATTCAGGGATGCAGCTGCCCAGGGGACAGCTCTTTATTACTAAGCGCTGATGATTTCATAGGCAGCCTTTGTCAAAGGAAATTCAAATGTCAGCCCAGTCAAGTGCATTGGATTCTCAGTGCTGGCGGGCACAGCGCGCAGATGATCTGCTCCCTGAAGCATGTCAGAAGCAGGGGAGCCCCTTGGCTTTGCTGATGGGCTTTAGGCTGCTTTGGGAGTTCCTCTCTTGCCGCTGAATGAGACCCGGACATTTGTGGAGGGTTTCCCACACAAAGCAGGGCATGCTGGGGTGTAGCAGCAGGGGCTGCCGGCAGCTTGTGCACTGCTGGTGCCTTAGTCCCAGCCTCAGGTATCAGCAGCACGTGCAGGAGAGTGCAGCAGCTGTGTGCTCAGCAGGTGGTCCCTGGGCTGTGCGTGCTGTAGTCGAGGGCTTTGTCTTCCCTGCTGGGCCTGGCCCCCCAGGAGAGCACTGAATGCCCAATGAGCTGGGGCAGAAGCTCAGGCAGATGCTCCTGGATGTGCAGAGCAAGGCAGGGCGAAGCTGGTAGACTCTGCTCCTTTTGACTGGGAACAGCCTTTAGCCTCCCCCTGTCTGGAGATCTCAGCAGGCAGCTGCTAGCAAACCTGCCCCAGCTCAATCCAGGAGCTCTGGTGGCAGCACGGAGCTCCGTGCCTCCCCAGACACCCCTGGGAGAGGCAACTTGGGTCCTGGAGATGGTGCCACAGAGCACTGGTTTCTGTTTACTCATGCATTGGTGCCTCTAGGGGGTTGTGCACAGCTTCCCCCCAGCTGCTGTGCCCAAGAGAGAAGTCTGGAGAGGGAGACTGGCCTGAAGGTAAGGCTGGGATTAAGCATGGGGGACTGCAGGTCTCTCGCTCCCAGTCTGCCCAGCTATGTCACCTGGAGCTGGGGAGCCAGGAGCAGCAGAGTGGGGAGGAGAGGGCACTGTGTACCCAACTCACACTGCCACTGCTTGTCCCTGCTGTGTGCCACAGTCAAGATCCCCACGCGGAGGACATACATCGACCCCGACACCTGCGAGGACCCCATGCAGGCTGTGCACCTCTTTGCCAAGGAGCTCGATGATGCCAGCATCAAGATCGAGAGGATTATCGGGACAGGCACGTGCTCTCACTGGGAGGTGGGGGGAGGGCTGCAGAGACCTTGTTGGGTCTCCCGCACTTGGATGAGGCCTGGGACACCTGTGTCACTGGGGCTTGGGGATCCGTGAGTGTCCGGCGGGGGGGTCTACTCAGTGTAGACGTTTTCTTCCCTGGCCCCGTCCAGCCCCTCGGGAAGCCCACGAAACCCCAAGCTGCTCCCCATGACATGTAAGCAGGACCACATTGGGGCACACCTCTGGTCCACCTTGACAGGGGCAAAAGCAAGTGCTTCAGGGGAGAGAAAATGTCCGGGGTGTGTGTGGAGTGACCCATCCCCTGCCAGACCCCCCCCTCATCTGCCCCCGGTGGTTTAGGGCTGTCTGAGACACCCCTACCTCTCTGACTGCTGTGTTTCATAGCACCCAATAGGCTGGTCTTCCATGAATCATCCGTTTTTGAGCCCAGTTCTGCTCTCTGCTTCCCACGGCAGTGAGTGAACTCCGTGGTGTTTTAACAAAGTGCTTCCCTGGTTGTTTTAAACCAGTCCTGATACTTTCAGGTGCCCGCCCCCGAGTCATAGTATTGTGGGCTGGGTGAGTAACAGCTCCCTGCTGCCTTCGTCCACACTCTTTAGACTCTATCACATCCCCCCTCAGCCTTTTCCTTTCCACACTGAAGAGTCCCAGTCCTTGCAGTCTTCCTCCTACCCATCCCACCCACCTCCCTGGGGCTTCCAGCTTTGCTCTTGTCCAGGAAGAAGAGTGCATGGTCGGTTAGGATGTGATCCAGGCCTTTGACTCTGTGTCCCTGGTTGTTCTCTGGGGCAGAGAGAGCAGACAGACATGAGGAGGGGCTCCCTGGCACCATCGGCAGTTCTCTGCTTCTCGGCAGCTTGGCAGCACGTGAGATTGATGTATAAATATGTTAACGCGCTGATGTATTGATTTCCATCAGCTCTGCTGCCTAGGACTTAAAAGCAAATTAAAATCCCTTCTCCAGGCCCAGTGCTTTAATCACCAAGGCCGGCCCACGCTGGGAGAGCCAGGCTGCTCTGGGGTTATTTCTCCAAATCCTTCTAGGATGGGAAGGAAAGGCAGAGGGAGGACAAAGCCAGCAGTTTCGGCATGGAGACCAAGGACTGTCAGACGCGGGCAGGGACGAGGGAGTCTTGACAGTTATCTGAGCAAGGGCCTGGAGCTGCTATCCACAGGGGAAAGACAGCCAGCTAGGAAAACTTGTCCAGCATGGTTTGCATTAATCTCCCAGGTCACCGCAGGAAGGGCCTGACTCATAGCACAACCCATCCAGTCCCGCTTTGTGCCATGTGTGCCTTGTACACTGAGCAGTGTGTCACCTTCTGCCAGAGTCCTTGCTCTGGTCAGACATTGCAGCCTGGCTTTCCTGGTGATGTTGAAGGTTTGGGGAAGACCTAAATCCAACGTGCTATAGGACCATCTCCTTTTCTCCTGGCCTGTGACTAACAATGGAGCAATCCAGCCCCAGCCCTCAGGAGCGCAGTATATAGGCACCATTGCAGGGGCCAGGATGTGGCTGCAGGCACTTGGTAACTCTTGTCTCCCCCCTGCCCAGGTGAGTTTGGGGAAGTCTGCCAGGGCTGCTTGAAACTCCCCAGCAAGCGGGAGCTGCCGGTGGCCATCCAGACCCTCCGCGCAGGCTGCTCGGACAAGCAGAAACGCGCCTTCCTGGCAGAAGCCAGCACCATAGGCCAGTTCGACCACTTCAACATCATCCGCCTGGAAGGCGTCATCACCCAAGGTAGCAGCACCGTGCACCATGGTGCAGAGGGGGCATGTGGACAGCACCTCCAAGGCAGTGAGGCTCCCCTGCTCTTGTGGTGCTGGAAGGTGCGGGTGCTGAGTGCCTTAGCATGAGCTCAACCAAGGCATGGCTTTGCCATTAGCAGCTGGGCCTCTTCCCCTTAGCCCCCCAGGAGCCCTGATTGCTGATTAAATCCCCCTGAAGTCCCCCAAGGTGCTGGGTTTGCCACGGTGCTGTGTCCCTGTCCTCAGTTTAGCCTGAAAAACCCTGCTAGCAGGTGCTACAGCCATGTTCACAGTGAGATGAGGCCTCTCAAAGTGCTTGGGCAGTTGATCACTGAAACATCCAGGGCGCAGCTGAGATCAAAGCATCTGGTGGGGGGCTAGGAGAGGGGGGTCCTCACCTCTCTCACTTATGTCAGAGGCCTAAGAGTGCGTGCGGCTCACAGCCGGGACCAGGGAGCTTTGTGAAATGTCCGACTGCCTGAGCTTCATCTGAGGTTTATGACCACAGCTAATGAGGGGGAGCAGGACTCTCAGCTCCTGCTCTGTCGATAGGGACAGCAGGCCCCAGAGGCACAAGGTACAGGCAGTAGCATGCATTTGTGGTACATGCAAGCTGCTGTGAACACAGGAGAACCTGAGTGGGAATTTTTAATTAGAACAAATGACCACGGTCCCTTCCTGACCTGTTTCCTGCTGATGCCAAGCAGAACCACATGCGGCAGTCAGGGCACAGGCGTCAGTGCCAAGGCAGTTCCAAGGGGCCCTGTCACAGGCCGGGTGGAGAGATGGGCTGAGGGTCTTGAGAGCCTGGTAGCAGCAGGACAATGCAATCAGACAGGCACTCTGTGTCCCCACGGTGCTGCCCCATCAGCCAACACAAAGCCATCCATGTGCTAATTGGTCCCCATCAAATGAAGTGGTGCACTCCCTGAGCTGAGCCCAGCAACTGCAGTGCTGCCTGGTGCACCATGTGATTTAAAAGCAGTTGAAAGCCATGGGCCGGTGGAAGAGCAGGAAGGATGCCAATTGTTCCCTTAATTACCTGCCACACTGTCTGGGTCTTTAATGCAGCAGCACTGGCCTGGTAACAGGTTTGGGCAGTGGCTGGTGGCTGGAGAGGCCATGCAATTGCTTCTGGAAGTCTGGCGCGCGTCTGGTGGTTAATTGAGTGTTTCCATAGAAGCCGATGGACCGGGTCTGTCAGTAGAGGGGTGCCTGTGCGTTGCTCCCTGCCTCCTGGGTAGCTGAGCTCTGCATGCAGTGGAGGAAGCTGCTGCTGGCTAGTACCCGTGTATGCCCAGAGACGGTTGTGCCACTGTCAGCCCATGTGTTTCACTGGGCACATAATGTGGCATGCCTCAGTGGTGCTCCTCCTAGCATCACAGCTTCAGCCCTCCACCTTCGGTCAGCACACGGAGCCCCTCTCAATTCCTCCGCACAAAACCCATCGCTGGCCTGAGGCCCAGGCCTGTAGCTGGATAAAGCAGGCAGATCAAACATCAGGATCAGGACCAGCTGTCTCAGGGAATCAGGCCCTGGGATGCTGAGCCGAGCCTGTATGTGCAGCTCAGACACGCTGAAATTAGTCGCCTGATGGTCAAGTGCATAAGTACCGTCATAACAGACACTCCATCATTCATGCCTTGCTGTCTGCCAGTCCCAGTTCTTGCTTATAAATGCAACCCACATGTCTGCTTTTTCTCTGCCTCTGATGCTACCTGTCTCCCTGTGTGTGTGTGTGTGTGTGTGTGCGTGCATGTGCGTGCATGTAAATTGTGCCATTTCCATGAGCAGCTCCATCACGGGTAATTATATCATCAGAAACCCTGATTGCCCACTTGCACTCCGCTTTTGTGATGGAGGAGTGGAGGGCCCTGTGCCCTGAGCAGACTCACCCCTCTCAGTGCTAATGTTTGAGGAGATGATGAGCCTGGTTCAGAGAGACAGACCACATGCGTGTGGGGACCTGGCTCCTCTGCTTAGCAGACATGAGGCTGTTTCAAAGTAGAAGAAAGTCCTTGCCCCGATGGTGGATATGTCTCAGGGTTTCCCCATGCTCCCAGTAGCTCTGGTTCCCATGGTTGCCAGCACAGCACTGCAAAGCAGCTTTTTAAACCCCAAAACCATGTGCCGTGTTGCAGTCTGTGCACAGAGGTGAGGACACCCCCTCCTTTGCTATCCAGAGCATTGGCTCTGCAGCTGCATGCCTTGCTCTGAGTCCTGGATGTCAAACTTGGCACTTGGCTGCATTTCAACACTTCTGTTTGAATGAGCCCCGGGTCGCGCTGTACCAGTGCTTTGGCTTCACTTTGCTGGACCACTCTTGCTGGCTGCAAACATTCTCAGCAGCATGGCTACATTTATTCCCAGATCGCTGAGGGCAGTGTCAAGTGGTGTCATGTCATATTTGGATATTGGGGAAAACTCTCACAAGGAGGGTGGTGAAGCACTGGAACAGGCTCCCCAGAGAGGTGATGCAGTCTCCATCCTTGGAGGTTTTTAAGACCCAGCTCAACAAAGCTTTGGCTGGGATGAAGTAGTTGGGGTTGGTCCTGCTTGGAGCAGGGGTTGGACTAGATGTGACCTCCTGAGGTCCCTTCAGCCCTCCTTGTCTATGGTTCTATGTCTTGCATTGGTCCATGAAGAGCCCCTCTAGAAACCTGCCCGTCTGAGGATTCGCTGTGGATGACCACCTGTTGCCCAGCCAGTTCTTCACCCCTGGAACACGTGCTCCACTGGCCTTTGGCTCTGCATGTCTTGTGATACCAAGTCAGGATGCCTCACAGAAGTCTAAGCAGTCCATCTGTCCAGCTAACTCATGGAGGACGAGAGCAGGCCTGCTTGCCATAAACCTGAGCTGAGGGACCTTGATTCAGTTCCTGCCCTTCGCTCCTATACCAGCTGGCTTGCATATAGTCACTTCTCTGCTTGGGGTCAACACAGGCCAACCCCCCATCGTTCGCTGCATCCCCTCACTTCCCTTTTGGAGTGCTGGCATCATCCAGGAGCGTTCTTCCAGCTTCCTGGCACTTCCCCAATGTCTCCAAGACCTATTAAAAATGAAAGCTGGTGATCCAGAAAGCTCCTCAGGGCTCTGGAGTACAAGCTGCCTATTTAAACATGTTTATCTCCAGATCCTTTCTAGTTACTAATGGACTGGAAAGTACAGCATCATCTTCATGGGATATGAGTACATCGTTCTGTGACTTTCTTCTGCTACAGAAGCATTTATTGAGTATTTCTGCCTTTTCCGTTTCATTTTAACTGTCTCTGTCTAGCAACAGGTTGGCACTTTTGATTCTAGGATTACTTTAGTTTCTCACAGATTTTTGAAAAACTCTTTTGCGAGGCCTCTAGCTGCAGTGCTTCAGAAAGGCCGTTTCCCCAAAGCCGAGGAAAATTGAGTGAAATTGACTGGATGGAAAAATGTAGGCAGAACAAGCGCGACTGAAAATTGGGAGTTGCGTTGGAAGAGTTTGTTAGAGGGCTGAAAAGCCACAATTGCACAATCAGGAGAGAGGACAAAGCTAAGAGCTAAAAGCCTGTCTTGGCTGAAGGGCAAAGAGAAGGCTGCCGTGAGAAATTAAACAGCAATGTATAAGAAATGGCGGAGAGAAAAGAATTCAGATAAACTAGGGGTTGTGAACCATGGAAACGTGGCTGAGGGAAAGTAGGGCACCAGGGAAAAGCCCTGACTGGCAGGGAAAGGACAGCGAAGTGCTATCGGCATCCAATTAGACCTGGCCCGCCAACCTCTCAGCACGACTGCACCAGCTCTGTGGAGGTTGCACGTGGGCTCTTTACCTCCTTGGCTGCTCCAGCAAAGCCCCCACCGAGGAGGCTTCTCCCAGCCTGTGAGAGACAGGCCAGCTTGTCTCAACCACCGCTACCATGGGCGCAGAGGCCGGGTCGCCTCCCATACGGCCCCTTTATGAACACAGACACCCAGCCGACTTGCTGTAGGTTGTAATCTGGACAGCAGCTGTCTCCCCTGGGCTCCAGGCTGTTTCCTTTTCATTTCTTTTAGCAGCTGTTATAGTTTGATTTTCTTCCCCTCCTTTTGCTTTCCCTTTGAGCCTGGCTTGCCTGGTCCCCTGCTTTCACCTGTGGCATATAACAGGGTGTCTAATGTTTGCGATGTTCCTTCTGGTTGTGGGTGAGCGGATATTTAGGGAGGTCGTGCAGCGCCCTGCCTATCACAGCCCTGAAGGGCCCTTCCTCTCCCACGCTTCTGTGCCCATGGCTCAGCCAGCACCTCCCACCTGTATTTCTTCAGCCTTAGTTGGATGGGAGGAATCTCTGTGCCTTAGAGAGAAACGTTGTCGTGACAAGTTTACCAGGCCTTTGAGCCATTAAGGGAAAGAGCCCTGGAAAGTAACTGGACTCCCCATCCCCTTCTCAGCTCAGGCTCCGCTTCCTTGCACTGACGACCTCCCCACCATCCATAGAGGCTCCCACGAAGGGCAGGCTGGGCTCGGCCAGTGGCCTGGTGGAAGATACGAGTAGGAGGGTCATTGGCTGCCCGGTGCTTGGGAGTTTGCTCAAAGTAACCCCTCTTCTGCCTCTCTGCCCAGGGAACACCATGATGACGGTGCTGGAGTACATGGGGAATGGGGTGCTGGATTCCTTCCTGCGGGTGAGTGCGTGCAGCCTGCCAGCCTGTCCCTTGCCCACTGGAGCACGTGCTGGTGCCACGTAGAGCCAGGCTGAGCCATGCTGACCCATGCTGGGCCTCCTCCTTGCTGTTTTGTAGAAGCACGAGGGGCAGTTCACAACCACGCAGCTGATGGGCATGCTGCACGGCATCGCTGCTGGCATGAAATACCTGACGGAGATGGGCTATGTGCATCGGAGCCTGGCCGCCCACAAGGTGCTGGTGAACAGCAACCTGGTTTGCAAAATATCCGGCTTCCGGCAGCCACAGGAGGATAAGATGGAGACCATCTTCACCACCATGGTAAGCGTCAGGGTGGCAGACCAGGGCATGGAGTGGGCTCTGCACCTTCCTCTTGGGAGGGAAGAAACCAGTGCACATTTTTTTTTTAACTGGAAAGCAATTAATTGGGCTTGTTTGGACATCCTGCAGCCACTGGAAGTGAGCTGAAGGCGTGAGATCATCATGTGACTCACAGCATTAATATTTAAGAGTCGACACATTCCTCAAGCAGACGAACACTTCTGGCTGTCAGGGAGCTCTGGCAGCACCAGGGTACAGAGGCGGCAGACTGCAGTGCCCACAGCTCCCAGACCCCGTCTCTCCTCTGTGCAGGGCTTGCAGGAGATGCTGGCAGGGAGGCAGCTTGGAAGAGACTTGGAGGGGCCAGTTTCTAGTCTCTGGAGCCAATCCTGGGGGGCACTCAGCAGCTCTGTCATGCCAGCTCCTGCCAGGGTGGGCAGCCATGGGAAAGGGAGGGGAGGAGCGGTAGTCCTTGTGCTCTGAGCCTGTATTGTACCTTGGCCTTCTCTCACACCAGGGGTGGAAAGCTCATTAGCACTAATAAGTGGTGGGAGAGCCTGGGAGCAGCTCCAGAGACCCCACATTGGTCTCTACAGCTCCAGGAGCAAAACATGAGGTCCTCCAGCCCGTCTGCCCCCCTCTCTCTGGCTGAGGGGGAAGAGCTGAGAGGAGCCTCTTAGCGCAGCCACGAGGCACTGACTCCTTCCAGAAGCGCATGTCAGGAGTGAAGGGCAGGCTGCTCTCACCACTGCAGCAGCATCTCCATTAAATATTGAGGCTAGTGTGCCATCAGCTCCTCTGGCAGAGTGAATATTGAAAGATGTGGCCTGGTGCCTTATTCCATTTTTAATGGTGCGGGGCCTGTGCTGCATGTGTGGAGGTGCCGGGCAGAGACCACGGCAGGTGAGAACCTCCTTTTCTCCTGCCTTTCCCTTGGCAGGGAGGGAAGAGCCTCGTGCTGTGGTCGGCCCCCGAGGCCATCCAGTACCAGCACTTCAGCTCAGCCAGCGACGTGTGGAGCTTCGGCATCGTCATGTGGGAAGTGATGTCCTACGGAGAGAGGCCGTACTGGGATATGTCCAACCAGGATGTGAGTCGCTTCCCAGCCCCGGCCGCGAGCATGTGGCCTGTCGCTGCGTGGCCATATGCAGCAGAGACTGCGTGCGTGGATTTTGGAGCATGTGTGTCATTGGCATGGAGCTGCATGAGCAGCCTGGGGGCTCTTCAGCGCTCAGCCATGTAGGGAGGATGCTTTTGGCCTGTATTAGCTGTGGGAATGACATACGCCCATTGCTCTGAAAGCAGCAGCTGTTCAGATGACACTTAGCCCTGGGGAATTTTCTGTGGGCTGCTTTTATGAGTTTATTGGTGTCTGTGCCTCCCTGCCTAATGTGGGCTCCGGGTGGCTGTGAGAGGAAGAGACAAAATAAGTTATAAAAGCTGCTAACAGATTGACATTGGATACATAACCCCCGCTTTTCCCCAAGCAATATCCCAGCTTAGTCACGCCTGCTAAATGCCTGCCCAAATAGGAAGCTGTTAAAGTACTTCCAGAGGTCCAGGCTGGGCAGGCCCCAAGGGTGAGGGAGCTCCAGAGCTGAGGGGAAACTACCAAGAATGACCTTCCTTGTGCCTTTGCCTTGGCACATTGATGGTGCTTGCAGGCTGCTCTTGGCTGATGGTGCCTAAGGGAGAAGGCAGTCCCATTTAGGGCCTGATGGGTCAAAGCCAGCACCTTGAATGGCACCTGTGCAGCCCTTGTGCTGCGTGCTCCTGATCAGGGTCCCTGTCTCTGACTTGTCCTTCCCCTGTGCTTGCAGGTGATGAAGGCCATCGAGGATGGGTTCCGGCTCCCAGCGCCAATGAACTGCCAGCCGCCCCTGCACCAGCTCATGCTGGACTGCTGGCAGAAGGACCGCAGTCAGCGGCCCAGGTTCTCACAGGTCCACAGCATCCTCAGCAACATGGTGCAGAACCCAGAGCCCCCCAAGTGCAACACCTCCACCTGCACCAGGTGAGCTCCCTGCTGCTGGCTCCTCCCCTGGGCCTTGGGTTGTGCAGTTCTTGGCCAGCAGCCCCGTGGCATGTGCAGCTGGTCATGGTTCTACCCTGCCGCACCCCTTCTTCCCACTCCAGCATCCCCTAGCTGCTGCCCACCTGCATCTACCACCAACGGCAGAGGGATGGTGATTTGTTGCTAGGTCTCTTCCGACTGTTTCAGTCGTGGCAGAAGGCCTGAACCATGCATGGCTGGAGCTGAGGTTGGCACCAGGCCCCTTGGTCTAGCCAGCTGTCATGGTGGAAGCCTGGTTAGCTGGACTCCTGAGCAGCTTCCATGAAGCTCTCACCAGCCTGGCGGCAGCACTGAATTGAGGGGCATGTCTTAGCTTCATGTTGCTCTACTTCCTACTGCCATGGGCACCAGCTGCCCCTGGCCTGGCTCTGCTCTAATGCCTGTGCTCTGTTTGTGGCTGCAGGACCCACAGCACCTCCATCCCCCTCACCGAACGCACTTTCTCAGCCTTCCCATCTTTCAGCTCCGTGGGCGAGTGGCTGGAAGACATAGAGATGGGCCGCTACAAAGATAACTTTGCTGCTGCCGGCTACTGCTACCTGGAATCAGTGGCCAGAATGACAGTGCAGTAAGTGGAAAGGGTGCAGGGACAAACCCAGGCACTCTGGTGCAGTGTACCTGGCTTGGAGGCTTGTAGGTTGTCTTTGGTTATTACTAAACAAGACCCAGAGGCATGCACAGGGCTTTGCCATGCATCTCTCTGCCTTGGGTGGCAGAGGTTTGTGCTTCAAAGTGGGGAGCATGAAGCCCATTGGTGTTGTCTGCGGCTACCCTTGGCCTCTCACCTAGTGTCAGATCAAGCTGCTATTAAGTGTTGATCCTTTTTGCAGCTAAGGGACAGACAGCAGAGCCCACAAAGGGACCTCTGGTCTTGTCACTGGGGCTCCTCTGAGCTGTTCCCTGTGGGGCTGGTTTTGCCTGTGCTGCCTGGTCAGTCCTTCAGCCCCACTGGTGACTAGATGAGCTCTGTCTTTTGTCTGCAGAGCTCCTGGCCTACTGTGGGCATCCACACCCATCAGATAGACCCCATCCCCAAGCTGCAGCCTCCTTTGGCTTGGCTGCTGTGGGCTCCTGGAAAGAAAACTGGGGACAGAGTTGTGCCTGTAGGACCTGCAGTGGGAGCCCATGACACATCACTTTACCTCCATGGCTCCGTACTCACCTTTGGCATGGGGCTTGTCTTGCAGAGACGTCCTGAGCCTGGGCATCACAGTGCTGGAGCATCAGAAGACCCTACTGAGTGGCATCCAGACCCTGCGCGCCCAGGTGATCCAGATGCACGGCCGCGGCGTGCAGGTGTGAGGCCGGCCAGAACGCATGTGCTCTGTACACCAGCTTCAAGCTCCCTGGGGTGGAGGATGTGACCCCCAAACCGGACCGAACCCCTGACCGGACCAAGAGCAGCCGCACCAGCAGGATGCAGGGAGGTGCAGGGCTGCCGCTGGCTTGGTCTGTCCAGACAGGCATGGGGCACGTAGGGCTTAGTGCTTCCGGCCCTGGGGCAGTCTTGCATACCCACAGCAGCAGCCTCAGTGGCGGGCTTGATCACCTCTCCCTGTCCCCACTGCACTGAGTAGAACGAGAGTTGAGCTAGTGTGAGGCTGTTCCTGGCTGTGCCAGGGTGTGATGGTGGTTGGGCCCCAAGCACTGGGTCTGAATAGAGGGTTGACAGTGTTTCTGTCCTGAGGTTCTGCCAATTATGTCCCCAGCGCAGCTCTTCTACAAACCAGCACGTTTCACTGCCCTGGGACATGGTGGGGCTCGGCACACATGAACAGCCTGGCATTGGGGAGGTGATGGGAGCTGTGCACTGTGCACAAAGGAGCCAGGAGCCCTGCTCCCCCTGCCCTGCTGCATCCCTGCCCTCTCCAGCACCCCAGGCCCAGCCACGTCCTCGGCCAACGCGTGGAAGGAAGGGTGACTTATGTCCCTAAGGTTCTTCTGAGCAGGCGAGTTCCAGGGAGGAGAGAAAAGCCCTGATGGAAGTGGTCTCCCTGGGGGGCTGTCCTGGCAGGGCTCCTTTTGTGTTTACTTGGTTTGGTGGCTGCATCTCTGCAGGGCCCTGTGGGTGCTCAGCAAAGGGGGCAGGGCAATGCCCTGGTGTGCTAGGAGCAGTGGCCATGGCAGCATGGGCCCAGCCAAGCTAGACCTGGTGGCTGGTGGCTGGCAGCCGCACTCCAGCACTGGTGCCGCTTTGCTCTCTCATCTCCCCTCCCATGAGGCCTGCCTCTCTTCCCATCCTCTTCCAGCCCACCGCAGTGCTAGGAGCAGCATGTGAGCGAGTCAGGTGGAATAGCCTCGGTGCTGCGGGCTTGTGCCACCTCTGCCCCTTTGCAGTGGCGCTGGCTCCTGCAGGGCATGACTCCCACTCCCCAGACTCTGATGGGTGATGAGGCACCTGCACCCTCCAGCTTCAGCCCTTCCAGCGGTGCAGCTCTAAGCTCCGTAAACACGGTGTCCAGCCCCACGGGAGACAGTGGAGCAAGCAGTGCAGGGCACAGGGGGCCCAAGCCGGGGCAATGTTGCAAGGTCAGCCTCAGCTGAATGGATAGATTCCCCCAGCTACGACTAGCAGGCAAAGCCAGCTGGACTGCTGTTGGGCAGGCTGCCCAGAGAACGATGCTGGTAGTAGGTGAGTACCCCTTTCCACCCTGTCACGAGGGCTGGCTGGGCTGAGTGGTCTCACCTGGTAGATGTACCAGAATAAAGCACAGCAGGAGGCTTGGGCTGTCCATCACTAGTCAGTGGTGCTGGGAGCTGGAGAGAGGAGGTGCGTGGGAGCGTGGCTCTGTGGTGCCAGAAGCTGGGCTGTGCTGGGCCTTCAGCAGTGGAGGGCACCCGTGCTGCCAGCATTTGTGTTACTGACAGTCTGAGGTCATTGCCATGGTGATGCCACTCGAATAGTTGCTCAGACTGTTAATTCTGGGGCAACGGTGGGGCCTGGGCCTCAGCATCGTCTCCATGAACCACGGGGCTCTTGGAGGCCTTGTCAGGGAGTCCACCCACGCCACTCACAGCACTTCTATTTTAGCTGCAAATAGTTGCTCTGATGCTGCAGCCTCTGCGCGCAAGAGCTGGCGCAGACCCCGCATCACAAATGGCATCTGTTTCCTCATCCAGGTTTCCTGGAAGCAAGTCAATTAACTGATCCAAGTGGGTGTGCAGTGTTCCACGGGCCTTTCATTAGCAGCTGTAAGTAAGACACATGAATTATTGATGACGGAAGGCAAAGATTTGCAAAGGGAATGCATGCAGGAGCAGGTGCTGCCAGCGCAGGCAGGAAACGTCCATGTTCCTGGTGGACTCCACTGTGGAGAGAGGACTCTAGAGCGAACTTGAATGAGGGGTCTGAGCTCCTGATGTGCCCGAGAGCGCGGCATAGAATGGAGCCCCTGCCTGGACCCTTCTGCTCCGGCAGAGCCGAGGGAACAAGGTGGCACTGCTGGTGTCTTGATTTCTCTCGGTGATCTGGTGACCTTTGCAGAGCCAGGTATTTTGGGGGAAGGCGCTATGTGTGTAGCAGGGTTTGATCAAAGGGGTCTGGTCCACACATGACTGCCCTGGTCTCTCTTTTGGCTTAGCTGTTTCAGACCAGATCCAGCAGCGCCGAGCACCACTGGATCTGTTTGCAGGAGTTAGTGTCACGCAGGGTCACAATGGTTTACATCTTGCTCTCAGGTCGCGACTGGGTCTCGGGCCTGCTCATAGCCTCTTGTGACCTGGGACACTGCTGACACTCCCAGGGGACTGGGCAGGCTTGCTTTCCCGCTCCGGTGGCTCAGAAGGGCAGGCTGGTTTTGAGACAGCATCCTCCTTCCCTTGCCAGTTTCTGGGCCGAGTAAACCCAGGAGCAACACGAGCCAGCACAGCACAAGCCATGCGCTGCGCTCACGATCAGCTCTCCGCTCCCCATGGAGAACTGGACCTGCCATTTGAGCTACAGATGCATGGAGCAAACTGAGACCGACACGCTTGCATCTCACCTGCTGGCAGAGGGCTCTGGCGAGCTCCCTCCTCCCCCTGGCCACGCTATTGGAGACAACAACATTCCCCAGCATCACCTGGTTCGTTTTTAAAGGGAAACCTTTGTTTTCTGGACCCCCTCGGAGGGTCTGCACCCCGCGAGTTCACCCCCAGACAAGCATTAAAATCAGTGAGTGAACCTTCATTTGCTAGAAATGCCAGATCCTGAGGATCAAGTGCAATTTGTATGCTCCTTGTGTTTACCCTGTACTAGTGAGAGAGGCTATTAGAGTCCTGCTGGCAGGAAGCTGAACCAACTTGATTCCTGGTCGTTTCATCTGGGATAAAGCTATCCTTGGCTTCTCTGCTGTTTGTCCTGTCTGCTGCATCCGTGCTCAGGGCTGTGCCAACCTCCCTGCACAGATGCTTGCTAGATCGTCGCATCTGGTTCTGGTGTCAATGCTTGAACAAGGGGTGTTGAAAACCCAGAGAAGAGCTGAGAGAATGGCCCCGGGCCTGGGGAACAAGCCTGCAGCAGGCACCTAAAGAGCTCAACTTGCTCGTTGCCAAAAATGCAAACAGGTGACACACTCCCCCCACAGCTGTAGTCCCTGCAAGGGGGGAAGATGCTGTTGGAGGGTCTCCGCTCGCAAACAAGGGCAGAGTTGTAGCCCCCGGCTGGAAACTGGAGTCAGGCCTGGGCCTTCCTGCACAATTCTGCAACACGCAGAATTAATGTGGCATAAATATGATCCTCATCCCCTTTGGGCCATGTCGGGCCTTTTCACCCCAGGCTGCAGACAGCAGACAGCTTGCTTTCCGCCAGAGCCAATTACCAGGGTTGTTTTCAACCATTTCTTCAAGTGTTTCACCCGCTAGCTTCATCTTCCCAACCGTCTCCTCCGTTCTTCGTGCAACTGCAGCCTCCGCTTGGGTTTGTGTTTCTGGCTGAGTGCAGAGTGAGCCTGGGGGTTCTGTTACCTTCTCGACTGGTTCTTGTGCAGGGCTCAGCTGTGGTCCTTTGGGAAGGCCATTGCCCTTCTCCTTCTTCCTGACTGCAGAAACGGGGCAGCTTTGGCTTCCTCCTTCCTCTCCAGAAGAGAATAGGGCAAAATGCCCATGAGGGAGCACTGCCCTGACCCCTCCAGTCCTCCCTAATTGGGTTCCCTCATCAAGGCAGCAGAAGACAAGATGAATGGAGCAAGCTCCAGGCTGCAGTTATGTGTTTAATATTAACTCACATCCCATTAGCAACTAATCCTTGGGGAAGCGTCGAATGCCTTCTAATTAAATTAGACTGCAGCAGTGCTCTTCAGCTGCTCCACCAAAGGGAGCCTTTCCAAATGGGTTTCTTCCCTGCCCATGTGACCTTTGACACAGGGAAAACCAGCATCCTCCTCTCAGCACCAGAGACCCCACGAGCCCACTGGCCACGATAAGGGTTTAATGGTCTTGCTGCGGCACAGGCGCCAGCTTTTCATAGGGGCATTAGCATTATCTCATGTGGTTGAAGGAGAGTGAAGAGCCTTTTTTCTTGGTAATCTGCGGGCTTTGCTGGCACTAATAAATGCAATTACAACAGGATTAGATTGTAGATGCTTGTGCATCCTGTTGGCAGGGCATGAAGGAGCGGGACAGGAATGTGAGCGGGTTGGAGGCTACAGGCAGGTAGGAGCAGGCCATTCAAAAAAGGGAGGCTCTTGGGCCAGGGACCATCCCTTCATTTGCCCCCGAGGGTAATCCAGCACCTGGGTTCATTTGCCTTTTGAGACAAAGCTGCAGCCCAGCCCTGGAACAGCAAACACCGTGGCCCCGCTCCCTGAGCACCAGTCCACTGCAGCGGAGCATTTACATCGGGACTTGGAGGTGCTGTGTTGGTTTAAGTCTTCCTTGCCCACCCAGCCCTGGCTGCATATCTCCAGGCATGGAAGGGCAGCTCTCCCCACCCAGGCCAGTGCTCCTACAGCTGGTTCCCCGGCTTTGCAGTATCCACCTGACTCCGAGCGGTAAGCCACCTGCACGGGCTTCTCTCCTGATGCCTCCCCTGTGCTGGCCAGAGCTGCCTGGAGCAGCTCCCAGCCCTACCCGGGCCCTTGGGGCCGGCACAAACTCGCCAACCAGGCAAAAGTGCAAGTTTCATTCTGGCATCTCTAGCTCCGGGGACCCGCTGCTAGGCCTGGAGGGTTTCCAGCAGGCCAAGTCCCATCCCACAAACTAGAGCCGGGGCCCAGGAGAAGAAAGGATGCAGCCTGGACCACGCTTGAAAGGGCTGAGTCTCAAACAGATGCCCATTGGCTGACTTGCCAGGACAGCTAGCACGTGTGTGAACGTGTGGTGTGCTCCTTCTTCCGCCCCAGGAAAAACCAGAATCAGGTTGGTTCAGCTCTTTCTGCGTTTTTTGATATCCATTGACCCCCTGTTATATAGTGTAAATACAGACTTGAAAAGGTAATATATATTTTTATAAGTTTTGAACAAATGTGCTGTATGATGACAAGGGGCACTGTGTACGTTTCGCTGTTTAAAGTCTGTTTGGATGTGTCCAGGGAATGACCGGTGTTTGGGACTCATCCGAGTCGTGCTGCCGACGAGGCTAAGAATCCAGCTCTACTGGCCTTTTTGTTTTCTTTGTTAACTTTATATTGACGGAGCCGTGTGTGCAGGTTGCAATAAAGAGCAACCCAAATGCCGGCTGTGCCGTGACTTGTCTGTGGGTTTATTTCAGGTGTGCCAGCGCAAAGCGCCAATTAGCAAGGGTAGCAATTATCTGTCAATTAGTCCGTGAAACTCTGGCGATGTGCGAAATAATGCATTCATGATTTATGAAGCAGCACAGGCTGACTCGAGAGCCTCCAGGTCCTGCAGAAGTGGCAGCTACAGCAGGCCTCAGCCTGTGGCAGGGTTTCACGTCGTTCCCGTGTCTCCACAGTGCCTGCAGTGTGTGGCGCTGCATGGAGAGATGCCTCTGCCGGCCTGTCCAGGGGCTCGGGAAGCCCGTTTCACTCGTCTGCAGAGCGTGTAACCTTGGAGCCGGTGGCAAGGCCATTTCCCTCTGTCAAGTCAGGTGCAAATTGTCAGTCTGCTACGTACGCTGCTCCCTGCGCGCGGCAGGAGCTGGGCCGAAGGGGC